CAGTTTTACTGAGAAAATAGAGTGTTGACACAAGTAGAAGTTAATTGATGAAAATGAAAAACTCATGAAAGCCACATAAAAAGAACAAAAACCATGTATTCATAAATATATAGTTAACTTTTAAAGACACTTAGTCAACAGAGTTACTGTTATAGATATAAATAAAATATTAAATATATATATTATATTTGCATGTTCTTATGCAAATATAGAAAATGTCCTAATAATATAGTGGCTGTCTTTTTTTTTTGTATACAAAGCCACAGAGATGATCAGGTTTCAAGTGTGTGTTGTTATTAAATATAATCTTTCCATAACAGGTTGGACAAACAAAAGGAAGTTGGTCAGCTGTTTATGTGAAAGCATGGACTCTTTCCTTGGTGTTATTTAGCAATACATTTTTAATCCAGATCATAAACACTGATATATTGAAGTATGCAGTTTACTTTATTACCACCATCACTATCAATAATTATTTTAAGCTGGAGCCATTTCAATACCTGGTAACCAAAACACTAGATAATTTTTCTCCCTTAACATGAAACAAATTCGACTATGAACACTCAAAGGAATGTGTGTGCCACTCCTTTCTTAAGTACAAATACCCAAAGGATTTAAATAAATAAAAGCATTCAAATGTCAAGTCAATAGTTGTGTAACAAGCTTTAGGAGTTGGTCTTTGAGTTTAATTCTTCATTTGTTTGCTCTGATTGAGAAACTCAACCCTGGAACATCCAGCAACTGACCTTCAAGATGTCAATCCAGAGTCCTACACTGAATAGCAGCTCAGTAAGTCATGCACATTTTAAATTTGGTTTCTCAACTTTAAGTAAGTCCTTTATAAAAACTTTCCAGGACTTCAGCTAAATTTCCACTAATCCTGTGTTTTATTTTAAATATCTTCAATTAAACATGTTTAACAATACTTGAAAAGCTATTAGATGTAATATATGTAAGATACATTTTATTTATTCTTTTTTGGGGGGTGAAAATGTGTAATCTACCATAAAGAATGGCTAGAAACAGAATAAAAACATTGATTTTATTTCACTCCTCTGCCTTCAGCATTTTTATATGATCTCAATGTAATGACATTTGCTTTTCCAATACCTTTATTTGATTTGCTTGGGATTCTGAAATACTTTATTTGCTCCAGTTTTATACTCACATGTGTTTTTTACGATCGGAGGGAAATGGTCCCGAGTCACAGCAATGAGGATGAAGATGATCAAAGGCCAGCCAATCAGAGTGATGGACCACAACTAGGATGACATCGTCGGTGTCATTAATGGCAATCAATTATAACTACGTTAATTTCTAGAACACAAAATTACATAAGATCTACTCTGTTTTTTTTCTTCATGTAAATATTTAAGTGAAAGCCACCACTACATTGGAAAGTTACCCACCGGCTGTCTGATGATGCCCAGTCCATTTTTCCAAAGAAGAAGTTTCAGCTGTCTGAAGAACGCCATGGGACCAGAGAGGCTAAAAAAAGTCAACAAAAGATAAATACACATTGATTCAGTGACTTTCCCATTGTCACTTTTAGGCTAAAATAAATGGAAGTTTATTAAAAGCAGTAGCATTACTGTTTCTTAGTAGAGTTTTGTTTTCAGCTAAAACATATTTATACTGAAGAACCACGGTGGATAAATTATTTCAGGACTGAAATTCAAAGCATATTTTCATAATTAGCCATTTAAATGGTTTTCATACTGTGGTGCCAGTACCTTTGGTACTTAAATTGTGTTTTTATTGTACCCAGAGGAGATTTTGGTGCTAGCAAGTTTAATTCTCTAATCAAACAAACAGTCTCATATGTAAATGAGACAGTTGTCTGAGAGTGACAATTTCCTTCAGACTTAATCTGAACCTAAACCTTTAGGGATTCCTCTACAGATACGTTGAAGGTGTTTTGAAGGTTGTGTGGAGGGGAGCTCAAATTAAGGATGATATCAAAGTGGGCTTGACATCACCGTAATTATATAATGGTATTAGATATATCCTAGTGGAAACAATCAAGAAGCTAATCAACAATTCTGAAAATGGTTTTCCAAAATGCCAGGAGTATAAAACTTTTCTTTATTTCACTTAAATTGTATATTATTGACAGATTACTTTTAAGCACAAAAGCAAGTGCAATGCCATGTAATAAAAGATTTTTTCACACAATTTTAGTCTTTTATGTGGTCATGGCTACTGGAGAAACTGTATCAGCTGTATCTAGTCTACTTTAAAAGTAATCAATTCGATGAATGTAAAAACAGATAAATTGACATAAGCGTTTTCAAGACCTCTTCAAAGAAAAGCCTTTTCAACAAAAGCACCAAAATTATTTTAAAGTAGTTGAACATAATCAAGAAACAAATACATAAATAAATGTGAACTCTTGTTTTCTTCTTTTTTAAATAAATCAGCATTTAGAATTGATTCATGAGCTAAACATTCATAAGCTATTGCTAGATAATCCAACTTATAAGAATAGTGTTTTGACCTACCTGAGCACTGTTGTCCTTGTAAATTTGTTAAATCGTTTGCTATCTGTGTGAAGTCCACGAGCTCATTAATAAGGACATCTTGCCACAGGAGATAACCCCCTAGCAAGAGGTCCTTTCCATCAGTCGTTGACTAAAGTAAACTGAGAAAATTTCCCTCAAAACAGGTAAAAATCTAAAACTCAGAACCCAAAACGTTCCCTCTGTGTCTCCGCAGAGCTTGAGGCTGTAACAATTCTCGTTTCATTAAACGCTCTTAGTTGTCCTGAGGATGACAAGCACCTCCTTTGTGCCAGTAGATCTGTGAAAGGGTGTGTACGCTTACTGTGTTCTAAACAATGAAAAAAAGAAAAGAAAAAAAAATGCCTGCATTACTTCTGGGAACAAACAGACATACTTAGAAATACAGAACAAGTAGAGGAGCTTTTAAAAAAAAAAAAAAATTAAAATCAAGGGCTTGTATATTGTAGATTTATAGAAGACACTATATCATGTATATAAGCAATGATAAGCACAAGAATATATTCTAAAATTATAAGCCTATGGGTAAAACAGACTTATGGGAAAGGAGATGTGTAACATATCTTAGATGACAGAAGACAAGAGTTATAAGGCAACTGTGCTATTATTCTACATAGTCCAAAGGGGTACAAAAGCATCAAGTTACGCCCAATCATTTTGTAAGCTGTTGTTGAGGCAGCAAAATTCTCCAGAGGAATTAGTCACACATTATCACAGGAAGAATCCAGTGGGAAAAATCATTTCTCCTCAATAGCTAAGAAACAAGATATACAAACACTAAATTACTGTAAAGTAACTGACAAAAGAAAAAAAGTATTTAGAAATGGAGTAGCCAACTATACAATGAAAAAGGGCAGGATTTCAGAAAAAAGAAAAACAAAATGGAAAGCACGTAATTTAAGTTGAACCATGTTTCCTTAAACAGAAGTTGTATAACAACATGACGTTGCTCTGAATTTTTATCTAATCCTGGCAGCTGTCAAACAAGCTGAGCAACAAAGACATTCTTTTCATTTCAGCTCTTCTGCAACAACATGAGCAACTGGAAGGTTCAGGGTTGGGCCTTGTGTAGTTACAGGGGTCACTTGACATCTTTGCTTTGCAAAACATCAAGAATACATTCATCATTACGGTAGATAGACTGGTTTTTTTATGATGATATCACATGAGGGTTAAAGGGTGCCACAGATTCAGTGAAGCAAGGTGTAACTATACTCAAAAGTTATTATTTTGAACAAGAATTAACTTGTCTTAATAGCGAACAGATTTTGAAGAATGGTATATCAAAGTGAATAAATAAATACAGTCATATTAAATGAATTAGAATATTATTAACAGGCCCATTTTTTTAACTTAATTCACCAAGCCTTTATTTCTGTTCACTATGACGAGCCTCCCCTTACACCTAATGAAAATGTGATATTTTAGATTAGAATGTTACATTATACACATAACAAAATCTGTTTTAATACAGGAATGTGGACTTTATGAAAACTATGTTTCATATTTGCATGTAGGTTGTCATTTCCAAATGGTATCTTTAATCTGTTAACCAAGCCTCACCAGAATGAATATTTAAATTGAACATGATTGAATACCAAAAGAAGTAAGCCAAACTTTGAGGTTTGGAAATTCATTTTAAAAACAACTTAACTTTCTTCACATAAATTAAATTTTACAGTCATTAAATGTAGAAATATTTTCAATGCAGAAATAGAATCTTTGCAGCTACAGAATTAATTTACTTGAGTTACAAAAATAAGTTTCCATAGTTTTTAGAAATAATTTATAAAGTCATATTACTTGCTGCTGTTGGTTATGCTGGTGTTAACTTTGATAAAAGCCAGTACAGGTTGCTTTACGAGATGCTTATTTAATTTGCCAACACGACTTGGAACCTGCTCATAATAGTATCACTTCTTGTTTAAATAATCTGGGAATTGAAACCTCTGAGAATTTGTGGGATTTCATCAAGAGAAAGATATCTTTAATTATAACAACATTAGCATAGCCACTGCCTTCCTGTGCAATTTCACTAGAAAAAATTCTCACTTGCAGCACATTCTGAGCTTTCTCCCCTTGACTTGGATTGTCTCTGGTAGAATTTCTTTATAGGCTCACAAGGGGCTGGATTTAACCAGGCTGGCTCAACGTAGCTGCCACATCGTAGTCTTGTTGCTATAGTGTGGGGTGGCAGCATCACATACACACCATCATTTTGTAAGCTGTTGTTGAAAAGGTATATTTCTCCACTGGGATTAGTTACACTGTAAACTAGGAGAATCCACTGGGATAAGTCATGGGGGAAAAACTGAGACATTTTTCCCTTCCCAACAATTCCCTTGTCTGATTAATGATGAAAGCTGTTTTAGAATAAGAGTCCACAATAATACAAAGACTAAGGGTAAGAGTTCAGAGTACAAAGGTGAATGGAAAATTTTAAGTTTCATGTTTCCTTATACAAAGACACATAAGTATGAGTATGTTTGCACTGAGCTTTTACTTTATGTCGAAGGAAGTTCCAGAAAGAGGAGCAGGCCGAACAACAAACACATTCTTTTCATTTATCAGCAGAGGTTACAGCAATTTACCTTCAGCATGAGCAACAGAAAGCTTTATTGTTGAGCCTTACAGGGTCATAGGTGACATAAAGCCATTACTTTGTAAAAGGTTGAAACCTCATCACCAAAGTAACTACAGTGTTTTCTTTCAGTCCTGCTAACACCTTATGGTTTTTAGTCATAAACATAAAGCAGCACAAACAATTTTTTTTTGCTGCACAATCCAGCACAAACATTTGACACCAATTTTGTCTGATTTGAAGAAGGTGGGAGCCAACTTCACTCGGGTCTGCCTCATCGGCTTCGCTTCTGAGCATTTGAATGGGAAAATGTAAAAATTCAGCGATTTTGAAGAAAAAATAATCAGAATTGTTTAAGCTAAAGGAAAAATAGATACTTTATAGAACAAACCACAGGGTGAAAATAGCAGTATTATTTTATCATTATATATCATTTTTCCTTGACAGAAAAAATAATATATTTTTCCTGATGTATACATCACTGATGTATATATCATGATGATGTCATGATTTATACATTTTTTCATTAAAAAAATAAAAAATTAGAGCTGAAGATAACATGTCTAATTGATAGTGCTTTAAATTTAAGTATGTGCCTAGAAAAAAAAACATAATATGAAATCTTTAATCATTTGATTTACATTGCTTTTTTAGGAATAAAAAATAATAATTTTAGTTATGCATATACACTTTCTGTAAACAAATCTTTATTGAATGGTAGATGTTTACACCAAGCAAGCTTTGATTCCTTCCTCTTGACGTACTTTTGATTTTTTTTATACATTGATCTTAAAATACTCCAGAATTCTTAAACAGTAAAAAACATTTTTGATAATATCAAATCTAAATCAAATACAGTCATACACTAGTCTCAGTCTCCACTTGACATAATTCACTCCACTTGCGAGTTAGAAATATAATGCATGAAATACAATACCCTTTTATGAAAGATTCACAGACCATTGATCTAAATAAAACTATATATAAATTAAATTTATGATGCCTACACTGTTGAGGAGCAGAACTTAAGCCTTGTAAGCACAAAGTAAAAATACAATGGCCATCTAACACTGAAATCATAAAAAATACCCAAACAGAACTTCTTTCATAAATCCTTCCATTGTAATACTGCTTTTGGCACTTGTGCTTCAGAAGAGGTGGAGGTAAAGTTAATAAACAATTTTCCAGTGTGTGGGCTGTTCACATTGTTTCTCAGAGTCTCCACAGAATCGGTTGTATGTGGTTTTAGGATCAAACCCCAAGATTTCTCTTTCTTCGTGAATCCGAAAAGAAAAGGTGGAAACTGATGTCCCAATGAAGAACCTGGAAACAATCAATTAAAGATCGATTAAGCAAAACTGTGAAGAAACAGCAAATGGATGAACAAAAGACTACAAAGGTGTTTGAGAATGTCACTTGTGGTGAGTAACAGCATGAGTTAGGCCTGTCACGATAAACGATAAGTCAATTAATCGCACGATAAGTTAAAACTATCGACCTCATTTTAATTATCGGCTATATCGTGTCATCTCTTACTGTTGATGACACTGAATGAAAAAAGGCTCAACTCCGGTGCTCTCTACTGACCCTCTCTTCCTTATTTCCTTCGTATAATGCCCAGCGCGCGCTGCACAATCTGATGTCGCGGATTGTCGGCCCATTATCAAAACCTGAGAGACACATTAGCCGACAGAAAACCTCGGTATAACGGTTCGATCGAAACCGTGTTGTGTCCAACAATGGACACAAAATAATAAGTCCAGTTCACTAATTTTGAAACCAGGCATTAATCAATTCCTTACTACAATCTACCTGCAATGCATGTGGCGAGTGTCAGTCTGACTGAATGAAAATCATTATAACCTATTTATGTCACGTTAACGAAGAACAGCTGAAAAGTTACCGGGTTTTCTGGTAGAAATTTTGCTCCAACTCCTCCCCTAGTTATTTATATTTTCTTTGCACGAACTGTTGAATAAACATTCATGTTGTTTCCGATGTCTGCTGGACTTCGGGTTGCACCGTGTCAGCTGTTCGGGATGCCCTCCGTGTTTCCCCTCAGAAAGCACGAGGAGAATCTGCGCTTTCTGATTGGCTACTAGTCACATTCAACAGGCTGCTTTATGCTCCCAGTCTGGATAAATCCTTGATTTAGATCGGAGCGGCCACGACGATCTACCGTAACACACAAGGGACAATCTTAGAACGAATCACGTTCTAAGATTGTCGTTCGGGGTAGAAAAAATACTGTAGTTTGAGTCTGATGTCTTCTCTATTTAAATCTAATAATTACTGAAGGGCAATATACTATACAGACTTCATAATCTGCACTCTTTTGGTTGGATGCAGTATTTATATTATATTTTGTAGATTTGTTCTAAAGAAGTATGTTTTTTTTTTTTTTAAATGTACTTTTTATTCAAGTACATTTATTATTAATAGAGACTAAGAATCGATTTTATTTTTGGTTTTGGTTGTTTTATTTATTTTGTGTATCAGTTCCAGTGTTAAGTGTCTTTTGAAAGTAAAGTGTATCTATCTTTTGCAGGAAATCGCATGTATTATTACGTAATTTCCATTAAATCAATGTAAAAAGGTCTTCAAACAATATGATTGTTTATCGCAATAATTTTTGAGACAATTTATCGCCCAGCAAAATCTGTTATCGTGACAGGCCTAAGCATGAGTCACCCTGACCAGCTTACCAAGTTGGATGATCTTTACTGACAATCTGAAAATGTGGCTGGCAGATCTCAGTACAGACTATGAGCTTACCATTTATAACCTGAAACATTGGTCTAGTGCAACACAATGCTTTAGCAACTTATCACATGTCCTAAAACAATGCCCTCATGTAACAAAGCAATTGTTGTTGTGCATTTTACCAGTCGCAACTCATAAGCTGTCCGTGTTTTAGTTTTACATGCAGTTCTTATCAAATTTGTTTTAACTTAAAGCCTACCATTTGCAATTTGACCATAATGCTGATAATCAACAATTTAAATGTGGAATATACCGACAACTGTTAGTATACGACCAACACTTTAGCCATTAAATAAATAAAAAATAAGTGAAAAGTAATGTGATCTCATTAACATAAAAAAAACCATACCAAACTATGATAACTGCATTTCACTTTGTTTTGTAAATAACAGAGGAATTTAACTCTCATTAAACACCTGATCTGGCAATGATGCTTTGCAAGTTTTAGAAATGGTCAAAACCTCAGTATTATTGCAAATACAAGTAAAAAAAAAAGACTTTACAGTAATAATATGGGGTCTAACAGCTTGCCAATCACATTAAAAAACGTTTCAAATGAACATGTAATTTACTTATGTCTTCTGGTAAAATTAAAGGTTAGTGGGTCTGTATGTGTGTCTGCATATTTGAAAAATGTTACACTGCCTCATTTCAAAATGGTTACTAGGCAGGAATTTCAAAGTGTCTACAGTTTTTTTTTAAGCTCTAAAAAAAACTAATAAAGTAAAGTACAACCTGTCAAAGGAAATTACCTTGCATGAGCACATATCCACTGGTCAATAATAGCCACTCCTCCATCTCTGAGCAGCTCCAGATCCTCTTTGGGTGGCTCAAACCGCACCATGTCTGGCAACAACCTTTTCAGCTCTCTCAGTTCTACATGGAAAATAAGATTATTACCACTTGCTTGTTCTGTTGTCTTTGTAACTTTTATGGGATTTATTTGCTTTTGAATCAAACATGATCTAAAAGACTAATGGATTAGATTTTGCATGTAATCACAAAAAAAACAAAAAACAAATAACAGTTAGCAGAAATAATATTTAGGAACAGAGGTCTGAAAGCAATTGGTAATGGATAAATGAATGAAAAAAATACACATTATTTTGATAGACTTAGTTCTTTCAATATAAGCTGGTCTGCCATTACCTTCTCCATCTGCATCAGTTGCAACAAATACTGTCTGAAGCTTGTGTTTCTTCATCATGCTGCGTATCTTTTTGACTGCCCCTTTCAGGCTGGGCACATCATCTCTGTGACCCCAGATGAAGTCCTTCCTGCGAAGATGAACCCCAATATATGGACCTCCTAGAGCAGACCCAGGCTTGGACTGATAGGAATTTAAAGGAACAACTTTAAATTGTTGAATTATTGCTAGCTCTGCTCTGCATAAATGTATTTAAATACAGTATTTAACAGCTATGTAGAGCAACAATATAGACTTATGTTACAGTAAGCTAGGTCTGCTAAGAAAAAAAGGCACACTTTTGACATGATGCTGCCAATATGTTTCCACAGTGTTGCACAATGTCTCTGGTTATTTGCTTTTCTTTCTACTTCACAATTCTACATTATTTTGTGTGGCTATATTATAACAAAATACATACTGGGATTTGTTGTTCTGTATATGAAATATATGAAAAACCATAATTCCTATATAATCAGGATATTTTCAGCCCTGGGGTTGTGCCGAAATCAGTGCTGCGATTTGACACCCCCTCAAATTGCAGAATTTGCTGGTTCAATAAGTAATGAGATAACTATTGATGAACAATATGTTATTGTTCATCATCAACTAGAAAAAGAAGTATTGATGATCTAAAATGGCCTCCAATTGAGATCTCCAAATGTTCTTAAATGATAAAAACTGCTAGCATGAATGAAACTTTACTGCTTCATCATGAGAGCATCACAATGTGTTTTATTGACATTTCAAAATTTAATGAAATGGAATTATTGTAGATTGAAAGCTGTGAAAAAAATATATTCTAACAAAGATTTGTCTCTTTTACTTTTTTCTAAGATAAAGTATACTTAGCTGATTTCTGTTTGTATTGCAAATTGTCCATCCCATGCAATCATAACTTCTGTTTTCTTGTCAAACAAGATAGTGGTTATTATATAGTTCAATACATTATATAACCCATCTACTTGAAAGAGACAAATATATTCCCCCACAAGGTTGTGAATACTCACTTTCATGTGGGTCCAGTTTTCATTAAATAGTGTACGGTCGGTGTCATCTGTGGAGTTCAGATATTTTGCTCTGAAATCATCCCCTATGAGTCGCAGGTGCTTGGCAAAAACCATGCTGCGCCGCGTCTAAATGAAGTGAAATAAAGGTAAATATCTCTGTTATCATCTAACAGAAAACATCCAATAGCAAGCATGCAAATAAAGGTTACATGTTCTTTCTCAGAGAGAGAAGAGCATTGCCCTAGAATAGGTCAACATCAACGTAAATTAAGGGGGAAAAAAAAGAAACAAAAATCAACCTTTTGAAGACCAAAACATCTAATACTGAGGTAGTGCTACTTACATTCCAGTAGTCTTTTCCAGCATAGTGATCATGTAGGAGAGTCTCTGCTCTGTCAAGCATGACTGAGCTAAAAAAAAATACATCACAACAATGCCCAAACAAGTTGATTCAGTCTGAGTTTCAGTAAGGTCAAGGAGAACAAACAGAGACACACCACAGTAAAACAATAAAAAAAAATTCAGATCATTATTCCCCGGACACAAACAAAGGTGGATAACTCTTTAAGGAATTTTACATCTAATCTTTCTCAGTAGTTGTACAACCATTTTTAGTTAGATTTCAATTTTATGGTCCAAATAATAATAGAAGTTTTGTATCCCAAAGTAAATAAAGGAATTACAAAATAATTCTAATTTATGCATCACAGCATATGCCTCTAACTTTGATCAGACTTTCATTAATTATTGTCAAGATGTGCATCAAAGTACATGCACATTGGTGAGCATTCTTAGATGTGATAACAAAAAATAAAAATGAAGAAAAGAAACTTTTTTTCTGGTATCTTAGCTGCTGATTACTGATATGTCAGTCAAGGAAAACTGGAGGATTCTGATTTCTGAAAAACTGACTGGAACATCTTCAGTGCAAAAGTGAGATCATCACATAGTTTCAACAATTTAACAGTAAATTCAAACAAAACTGATTCACCCCATGCTCTATAAGTAATGATTAGCAATGTATTTGAGCATTATGTGTTCTATCATTCTATCCAATATGCTTCAATATTTACTTTTCTTTGGATTTTATCATTTTTTGGATTGAGAATGTGTAATGGTATATGGTATTTCAGAAAGTATTTATGTTTGCAGAATGTGAAATATATTTGCGGACTTACATTGCTGTGAAGTTTTTCTGAAGAACTGGGGCCATGATGGATGCATGGCCTTGAGCTGATAAACATGTCACATTTCGGGCTCTTGTTTCTTCATAGCCCCAAAACCATCCCCTGCAGAAACACACGGAGTAGGGCAGAAAAAGAGCTTGTTTCTACAAGTCTGATTAAACATTTCATCAAGATAAATTTATTTACTTGACATTTATTCTTCATTATTTCTACTGTGCTTTCAAGCTGGTGAATATTACACATAGCGTCTTGGTCATGGACTATGAAAACTTTATCTATATTGTATTAATTTTTTACCTGTAGTAGCCCTGTTTGTCTTTGGTGTACAGTAGCTTCTCAATGCATGCACGCTCATCAACTTTTTCCTCCCATTTTCCATCAGTCCATCCCTCGGCATAATTCTGTAGCACAAGCACCTGGTCTATGAAAGGACCCCCATTTTCTAAATTGAGAAAGGGAACAAATTCTGCTTAGCACACTGGAGTTGACATTTACATCAATAGTGGTTTAAAATGTTTAAATGTGCAAATTGTTCTCACCAGCAATGAATTCCTCATACTCAATAACAGGTACGTTGGCTTGCAGGCTGGTCAGGCTGAAGAACTCTCCCCATGGGATACGAATCTGGTGGATATCAGGACTTTGCCAGTGATAAATTCGACCCCACGGGGGGAGGACCAATACCCAGTCACCCCCTTCTTTCCTCAAAGTCTTGACCAGTGAGGCCATGCGGATGTAGACATCTCTTCGCAAATTAAACCCTTCAGGTGGGTTTACGTCATATAAAAGGTACCTGATATGTAAAAAATATATATAAAGACACATTTTAGTACTAACTTTACAATAAGTACTAAATTGTAAAGTTTAACTGATTGTAGATCAAGTTTAAATTTTGCTTATAGTTTTATTATAAATCATAAGATTAGGTCTGATCGAATATTAAACCTTTTGAATAATCCACGATGGACAAAAAAACAAGTTTTCAACCATTGCAGGCAATTTTACAACTGTAGGAACGAATTCAGACTAAGTTTAGATTAAGGTCTGTGAAATAATATTTTCATTATCGATGCCGAATACATATACAGCACAATGATGTTTGGTTAACCTATGCAGGCACACACATAAAAAGGTTTTATAAGTCGTACAGGTAGAAAGAGATAAAATTAACAACTTTTTTAATGGAGTCGTGTATCAGAGGAAGAGGGCTCGAATACGCTCATGAATGTTTGATAGACACGAGACAAACACTTAAAAATCAAAGATTGTTGCCAAATAGTGAAGTATAAATCAAATAAACATCAGCTAGTAAAGAAAAAGCGACAATCTTCAAGAAAGCATTTCTGACAAGCTAGGACAATAAACTCACCGAAGATCCCTGGCTGCAGAGACTGACAATGAAGCCGTGCGGCTCGCACTAAACACGTCTTCAGATGTTATTGTTTGTAACGCTGCAAAGGCGACGAAAATAGACAAAAAGAAAGGGCTAAACGAATATTTTGATGCCACACATACAAGAGGTATATTCAGTGGGCGAAACGCCATTTTCCTCCCAGCCACGCATTTCCGGAAGCTGGGAAAGCGTCTGTAGTTGCTGAGCAACTAGTAATCATTTCTTCTTTCTCTTTTCTATTATGGCGGATCGCAAGCAACTTTTAGATGAGTACGCCATCTACTGCACATTAGTGTGTAGCAATATTACTTACGTCCATTAAATTCTATTTTTTAAATTTTGCATTATGAAGATAAACATTGCTCTCTTTAATCTAAAAGTATGTTCTATTTTTCCTTCCTTCTCCTCCCAGTTAGACATGAAATGTAATTTAAATAGATACATTAGGATTAATTTTCAAGGTGAGAATAATTAATAAATCAAGTTTAATCATGTTAGACGAAATGCAGAGCCAATGCTTAATGTAAGATATGAAGTAAAATTGTTAAATGATACGAATACTTATTTTTATAACTCAAATTGTTATGCCACAAAACCTAAGCTCAATTTGAATGCTTGTAGCTAAAGACTAAGAGGGAAAGCCGTTTCAGATTATGGATTGTGATTGGGTTGTAAAGACAAGCCATTAAAGACATAAGACTATGGGAATATAGTACAAACACAAACAAATTATTTTCTTCGACATGAGTATTTATTGAGGAACAACAAAGTCAAAAATAAGATTAATATGTTTTAATGTTTTGATATGAAGAAAAAAAAACAGCCAAACACACAAAAAAACAGAACTTCACTGTGACAATAAAAAGAGGTCTAGATGCAGTTTAAAATAGTGATTGATAGAAATCAAATATTTTTAAGTTTGGGTTCCATTCTTTAATAAATAACATTATTTTGTGGGTTTTTTTTAATATTCATCATCTTCCTCCTCTTCCTCAAATGAGTCAACGCCCACTTCTTCATAATCCTTCTCCAAAGCAGCCATATCTTCTCTAGCCTCTGAGAACTCTCCCTCCTCCATTCCCTCTCCAACATACCAGTGGACAAAGGCTCTCTTGGCATACATGAGATCAAACTTGTGGTCAAGCCTGGCCCAGGCCTCAGCGATGGCGGTGGTGTTGCTCAGCATGCACACAGCTCTTTGCACCTTAGCAAGGTCTCCTCCAGGAACCACAGTTGGAGGCTGGTAGTTGATCCCCACCTTGAACCCTGTGGGACACCAGTCCACAAACTGGATGGTACGTTTGGTCTTGATGGTGGCAATGGCCGAGTTGACATCTTTGGGTACAACATCGCCACGATACAGCAGACAGCAAGCCATGTATTTACCATGACGTGGGTCACACTTCACCATCTGATTATCTGGCTCAAAACAGGAATTTGTGATCTCAGCCACAGACAGCTGCTCGTGGTAGGCTTTCTCAGAAGATATAACTGGAGCATAGGTGGCCAGAGGGAAGTGGATACGAGGATATGGCACCAAATTGGTCTGGAACTCGGTCAGGTCAACATTCAGGGCTCCATCAAAGCGGAGAGATGCTGTGATTGAAGACACAATCTGGCTGATAAGCCTGTTCAGGTTGGTGTAGGTTGGATGTTGAATGTCAAGGTTTCTGCGGCAGATATCATAGATGGCTTCATTGTCCACCATTAAGGCACAGTCAGAGTGCTCCAGTGTGGTGTGGGTGGTTAGAATGGAGTTGTAAGGCTCCACTACTGCTGTAGAAACCTGGGGTGCCGGATAGATGGCAAACTCAAGCTTTGACTTCTTGCCAAAGTCAACAGAGAGTCTTTCCATGAGCAGAGAGGTAAAACCAGAACCCGTTCCACCACCAAAAGAGTGGAATACCAAGAATCCCTGGAGACCACTGCACTGATCAGCCTGCAGATGCAGAAACATAACTATTGTTCAAACCATTCTAACAACTTGTTTTATTTCTTATATGGACTGTTGCTGAGTCTGATTGGATACGATCACTCTGTAATTTTCTTAAAAGTTAAGTCCAAACAAAAATATGATTTGAGTTTCTTACCAGTTTGTGGATCCTGTCCAGGACAAGATCGATAATCTCTCTGCCAATAGTGTAGTGACCTCGGGCATAGTTGTTCGCAGCATCCTCCTTTCCAGAGATCATCTTTTCAGGATGGAAGAGTTGACGGTATTTTCCTGTTCTCACTTCATCTGATAATTTAGAAAAATAAACGAATGAGTGTTAGATCAATCTCTTCAGTGAAAAATAGTCAATTTTCAAACATTTAGTAGTTCAATTTGACATTTATGCAACTCAAGAAAAGAAGGAAACATCTTCCAAAAATGTACTTTCAAATTAGAAAAAATAAATAAATACTGACCAATGACAGTGGGCTCCAGATCAACAAAAATTGCCCTTGGGACATATTTCCCAGCACCTGTCTCACTAAAGAAAGTGGTGAAAGAGTCATCAGGACCTGTGGGGGAACTGCTTGCCATCTGGCCATCTGGCTGGATACCATGCTCCAGACAGTAGAGCTCCCAGCAGTTATTTCCCATCTGCACACCCGCCTGGCCCACATGGACAGAGATGCATTCACGCTGCAACATAATAAAGATAGTAGACATAAAATGTCATTTGAGTCTAATATATGTCATAAATTTGAAGCTGCTTTACAGAGCAACTTCAAAAGGCTTGAAATAATGTTATTATGCATTTCAGCCAGTAGGTGGAAGCTGATCATGGTTGCAGATGTCCCTAAATTTCGTGTAGATGCTACAAGTGGGTGTGAACTCGTGCCTGTTTGTTGACTGATACAGAGGTTGAGCTCACACCACATATCAGCAGTTGCTATTCATGCATTGGAAATAATTTAAATGGACACCTGTCATGTGGGAGACCTGGAAACATTCAAATTATTTAAACCAATTTGCCACTCGTTATCTATTTAATGTCCATAATTAATGATAATAAAAAAATAATATATTGATGATGAGCCTTGTATGGGTATGGGAAGTATTACCATATTCTCTGTTCTTCACTATTGTGGGTGGTGTTACTAACCAAAGAAACACCTTTTAGCATTCTTATTTGGTTCTAGATTTCAATATTGTGCCATAAATTTCAAACAATTCAATGCAAACTGCCCAGAACATGGATGAACTGGACTCTGTCACATACAACAGCTGTTCTACCTTTTTCAGGACTATGCTGCTATTTTTTACATGTTGCCCAACTTTCCCTTCCGACAGACCAGATAGTGGGTAACAGTTGACAGTCAGTTGGATGGTAGTTATCCTAAAAGCTTAGTATAGCAACTCTTGGTGTCTCTTCAAAATAATTTTGCAATTTTACAATTTAGACTCATATCTTCTAAATTTCAACCATTTCTGGCAGTAAGTTGATTCTTTCATGTCTGAGTAAGTAATGCAGAGATAGATTTAAAAAAAAAAAAACTCTCTACGACTGTAAACTTTTTAATAACAAGTAGACCATTTTGGAGGTGTGGCTGCATAAGATACAATCCGGTTCTTCAAAGGTATGTGTAAGGTGCGCCCAAGCCGACTTCGGAATCCGGTTCTTCTTGAAACTACACACGGTTCAGCTTTCAAAAGCGTGCAAAGCAACATGCATCTCTCCATCTCTCCTCCCTTGTATCTCTGACAAATAAGTAATTGAGAAAATACAGCCGTACAGTGTTGAGGCTGTAAGCATATTTCTCTATACTTGCCCAACATGAAGCTTAGTTCAGGATTATGTTTGAGACTAAAATGCATGTGTGGCATGTGGTTGTAAGAACTATAACCACTATTGCTTACAACAGGCTGCAAAGTTAGTGCTGATAGTAAGAGCTGCTAACTACACCCAATTTCCAAAGTAAAGTTCCCTGTTTTGAATTTATTATGAACTGAGGCTGAATGTTTTTTTTTTCCTTGCCCAAAATAATCAACAGTAATCAGGTGTGAATTGGAAGGGAGAAATCTTAAACACAACTGGTCAAAATGAGGATTGAATTTTTCCTGTACAACTCTACAATTTTAACATGTATATTATCAAAAATTTCTACACCAATAACAAAGGAGCTAAATGTTATGCATCTATCAGAAGAACTTTTTTTTTTTTGGCAGGGCAAACATACAGCTCCAGTGTACTCAGTAAACACTGATGTCATTTGCCATTTACAGCAATTCTGTGTCTCACAAGCTGTGTTGACAGTACACAATGCAAACAGAACACAGAGGGAAAAATATGGTGAAAACATTATTTCAAACAATGGAATGACTAAAGTTTATCTGCTAGATAGTCCAACTTAAACAGACATGAATGTGTTCTTCCACAAATGGCATTTATTCTAATTCTTAAAGCTGTAGGAGAAACATATTCCAGTTAATTCATAAGAAGTATTTTTTGTTCTATAGAGTTATTTGCATGACCTTAGTTGCAATTGGTTTGTCAAATATCATGTTCTTATCACCTAACTACCTAACTACACTGCCTCTACAATGATACCTACTTTTAAAAATGCACCTAAGCAGTGCTGGGAGTGAAAATAGACATTTTTGTATCTATTGGATGTCTTTTTAATGTTCACCAATCACCTGGTGATGACAATACAGACAAGTCATCAGCACCTGCTCTCACAGCCAGGTCAGCTTTTCCTGACGGTCACTATTTCTGACAGAGGGGTCCTGCTTCAGCAGGCGGCACTCGGAAACACATCATTTTAACACAATCTACCCAAATTCTTAAGAGATATCATACAAACAAAACTTTGGAGTGAAAATTTCTCTAAACCAGGGATACAGGATTATACTTACCATGGTTTTAGAAGAGTAAGGGCAAAAAGGAGGACTTTTTCAGACAGAGCTTTGCTTTCGTAGAGTCTCACAGCGGCCCTCAACGTGATCCTGGTGAGTAAGTTCTGCCAGGTGGGTGAAGTTAAGAGCTGCCACGAACTGCTCAGATGCATGCCACACCCACCTGTCCATTTAACGTGGAAGTGCATTTCAAGCATGCAGAGGTTGTTTTATGTTGTTTTGAGGTCGGTTTTCTAGAAATTTTAGTCCTCACCCAAACTCATTTGGCTGGAAGAAATAAATACATGAAACCCAAAATCATTCTCAAAAAACCAACCAAAAAAACAACTG